TGGCATTCAGGTCCACAGTCTCCTCCAGCCTTGAGAACAAACTGCTAAAAGCAAAGTCGGAAATGCTTTTAGGAACTTGCTTCCTTCAAAATATTCACCTCAGCAGAGGAATCTCTCTGATAATTGCTCTGTCCATGCATAATCCCAAGAATGCCAAAAGGATTACCCAAAGTTTTTAGATGTCAATTATCTGTTGCTCCAAAATATGCCCATTTCTGTCTGCAGATTGAAGTGTGCAAGTTTGTGTTCTAGTCTACTCTGAATAAATTTACTCATGATTCCCATGCATTTTTGACACTCAGGCTTCATTACTAGCATTCATTATAACGAAAAGAGTTTCAGCTGATTTGTTCTGTGGCAATCTTCTGGCTGAGCCGCAGAAGTTGTTGAGAAAAACCCCCCACTCCCTCGTCTATTTTCACTCGTCAGTCTTCACTGGATATGGGGGTCTAATGAAGAATCATCTCCCTATAAAAAAATAGTGCTGTCTGCTTAGTTACACAGCTGCCTGCAAAATAGAAGGAGGTAGCAATGAAGTGTCACATTTCAAAGCCTACAAGAAAGAACTGGAATGGTGATAGACTGTACTAATGCATTCTTAATGAGAAGAAGCTCTTTTATTACTTTGATGGGATGCATGGAAAGAAGTACTGCATGCTTGGAAATAGTAGAACTCAGAAACACATTTTTAATGCTGATGGAGAAAGAAGGAAGTTACTGTGGCAGAAGTCTTATAAAATTCTGCTTGTAAAATGCAAAAACTCTGTTAGCACAATCCTTTGATTAAGATTTAAATTCAAAGGTGACATGTGAATGCTCTGATCCCTACACAGCTAAGTTTTTGGGCCTGGATAAATTTTGGGCATACAGCAAAACACTTGCAATCAGCATCTAGTCCACTGAACATTTCCAACATCCTATAATAAATTTAGGATAATAATAAAATGCAAAAAGCCACACCTTTAATGCACCAGAGGTAACTCAGAGTGTTACCAATGGCTTGGGTGCCCTCAATAGTAGAAGATTTCTTAAAGATAGCGTGCAGATGTTTTGAGAAAGTGGCCTTGGCCACACTCTGCAGTAGAGGAGGAGGAGTAATAAACAGAGTAATACATGTCTGGAGAAGTACATCCTGATTCCACATCCAACAATAGTTTTAACATTGGTCAGATGAGCAAGACACATGTATGAGGCACGCTCAAGCAATGTCAGTCTTTTAGGAATGTACGTCATCCAGCAGTCTGCTTCCAGCTCTGACCAAATTCCAATAGTTCAGCAGAAGGAGGTGAAAAATCAGACAAGAAACTAGTTGTTACTTTGTACTCTGAGTGGAGAAAAAAGCCCTCCTCAGCCTCCATGAGTGGCCAGTGGGAACCCAAAAGCATGGATTTAATGCAGTGTAAACAAAGTTCCAAACAGACACATTTTTCAAACCTTATTGATGCTACCAGCTCAGTGTATGTTCAAAAACTCACAAAACAATGTTAATTTTCTGTATCTAAGAGCACTTTGCTCATGTTTTATGATGTGTTTGATCAGCATTTAAAGCTATCTTAAATAATGCTGCTTCTTTGTAGGAATTTGGAAGATCCCTTCTGAACTTCACTTTTTGGATAGTTGGAAATCTTCTTTTAAATTTGAGACTGTGATTACTCATGACCCAGTTTGCAGATCTGCGATCATGTGCTGACACTACCAGTTTCTTCCTTTTCTGTTATATACATTCCATATGAGAAAGAATCATCATATTCCTCAGCCCCTGTGTTGCTAAGCAAAACCAGTGAAATTTTTAAAATGTATCTTTGTATGACAGATACTCATTGCTCTAAACATCAGAATAGTTGTTCTCTGCATCAGTTCTGATTTAAGCTCATCTTTATTTAACACAGATGACTAGTGCTTTACACAGAGTTCCAGAGGACGTCCTCTTCAATGGTACTAACACTTCTGTAGCTCTACTAAAAATATTTTGCCACATCCATTGTAGAACTGCATAAGCTCTTTTCACAAAGCCACCTTCCTGGCTTTTATACTTGCATTTTCCAGTCTTCAGCATTTCCAATTAATCAGTTCTGGTTTTACATGCAAAATTATGCATTGTTGCCAAGGCACAAGGAGGGGGAGCACTGCTAAATTTTATCCCACTCATATTACCTGTGCCAACAAAGTTTTCTTAGTATTCTCAAGTGATGAGTGAGTCCTTCTTGACAATATTAAAACCTCCTAATTTTGTGTTGGCCACAAATTTTATGAGAGCACACCTAATTCTTGCTCTTAGGACACTAATAAACACATTGATCATTCCTAAAACGAATCCCTGAGAAACACATCTAGCAACTTTCCTCTTCTCAAATATCACCACCTGTAATATACCTTTATTGTTGTCTCCATTTATCCAGCTTCTTATCCAGCATAATAGTTTTATACTAATTTGCACAATTTCCACTCAAACTGAGTTTCCTTTGAGGACCCACAATAAGCATTTTATATAATACCTAAATATTATCCTTGTCTAAGAAACTGAAGACTCTAAACAATCCCCAAATTTAATTATTTTAACCACAGGTAATCCCATTGTAATTTCTCCCATTTTTAATTTTCATATTTGTTTTTAATCACTCATTTCAAATCCGTTCTAAATGTGCATGGTGCTGAAGTAAAACTAACAGCCATTGAATCACTTGATATACTTTTTTCCCTCTCTTCTTGGGCATATTTGCTCAATCCATCATTGCATACTTCTGTCATCTGGTACTGTCTCCAAATAATATATATTTAAAGTCTTTTCTACTTGTGCTTCCGTCTGCCAGTGTCTTCAGTACTCTAGAATGAAGATAATATGGACCCAATGATTTTGTCACACTAAATTACATATATTTGACTTCCCTTTCAAATGACATAATTCCCACTGGTTTATCATTGTTCTCCTTAGCTGTTCTTTCAAAATCTTCATGTACATCAACTTCCTTGAAATTAGGGAAAAGCATTTATTCAGCAACAGGTAAGCTATACATCAAGAATAATGTAAGCATGCCCAACTTACCCTTCAGGTCCCTGCCATGGCCTCACTTTATCACTTTATTTCTTTATTGTTCCAGTAGCTTTAAAAAGTATGGCTTTGTTTTACTTTTCCTTCAAGGTACAGTTCAATGAGGCCTTTACCCATCATTCCTTTGCTTCTATATTTTATAATGCCTGAAAAAATGTTCTCCTTGATAATCAAGGCCTCTTCTCACTCTTTGGGGGTTTTGTACCTATTCTTAGTATCTTGCTTTAGCTAGTTATTCACTCAGACTCTAGTCCTTTCCTACAATTTGTCCCTCCTGCCCAGCATGCATAGATTATTTCCATTCTTAATGTAAATCCATCCTTTCCTGCATTCAAATCATTAAGATCCTCAGGCCAGTCATCTTCATTCACTGATTTTTCTGTTTTCTAAAAGTTTGCCATTCTAAAATACCAAGCCTTAGCTACAGATTTATTTTTGTCCATCTTGCAATTTACGAAGAAGCAAATCCATTCATAATCACTTCCTCCTCGAACATTAGGTTTTGGTCAGCTGTTCTGCAAGATCCTCCTCACACCAAAAAAATAAGCTTCAAATAGCACACACTTTGTTGTTTTATGAATTTCTGTACCAAAAAGTCAGTCTTCTGAAATGTCTAGGAATATCTAAACCTTGCTATTATTGATGGTATTTACATCTATGTCTGGAAAATTTAAGTCTCCTATGCTCATACAGTTTCCCTTATTATTTATTTCTTTATCTATTTATGGAGATTATTACCCTTTTCCAAATCTCAGCCTGTCAGACCACAATATCCCCTTCTCCCCAAATACTGGCCAAGTTGGGCCTCTTTTAGCATCTTCCTTGCAGTGATTTTCATCCTAACAGATTATGTATTATTCATGCCATCACATTTTAAGATGAATAAACACAATCTGGCTGTTTTATTTTCCTACAACTTGAAATTTCCTTACTTTTATGTATTTTAAGTTGCATCCACATAGGCCTGTATATACAATTTCCTTGTTTTCTTTTTAGATTGAAGAAACCCCAAGGAAAAACACCATGAACTTCCCCACCCTTTCACAAAGTTATTATAAATGTACCTATTCATATTAGATTAACTTAACAGCATTTGCTTTGGTTTGGTTTTTATTTAGCATTATATACTAGTTATGAATAGTTCTTTTCTATACCTGTAATGCTTTCTCTTAGTCACTACTCATCCACTTAACGAGGTATAGATGATACTGAAATAGCGATTAGATTCTAATCAATGTACATCATTCATAATCTACAGAAAATGTGTAGTGTTCCAAAAAACCCAAAAACACCAGAAATTTGAACAGTACGGAACACCGGGGAGGTGGAGATTTATGTCCCATCCACACTGTTAGCATGTAAACATGCTGTCAGATGCAGCTTTAACCCAAATTCTAGAGTTCTGTGGGCCAAAATTGCCCCAAAATCTTCAGCCACCATCTCTCATAGCCATTGATCTTAGGGTCTGCTCACAGAGGACAAACAAGGAATGGATTAGAGTGTAGTCCCTCAGCACATATGCCAAGCTCAACTCTTCTTAAACACCACTAGAGCCTAAGTTACAGTTCGACAGAAAGTCTGCAGGTTGCCATTCTCAGAGGTAATAAGCTGTTATCATGCACTCAAGTATAAACACCACCATTAAAATGCCTAGACATTCTCTGAAGTGTTAAAATTAAGTCCTTCTGTGACTAATCTTATAAATGGTAACCAAAAGACTGGACATCAACTCGTTTTATCTCCTGAGGAAGATGGGGAGCTTAACCTTAGATTTCAAAAAAATTCATGGCTAAGCCAGTACTATCATACATTTCTTCCAGTCAGCGTTGCTGTGATTTAGATGAGAATCAGCAAGAAAGATTTGAGCTGTCACACTTGACTTTGAGCTGCCAAGAAGAGGTATTGGAGGTTACAGGCTAAGGTTTAATTTATATTCCTCCTTTTGTTACAGGCAGAGATGGTACGTGCTGCTTTCCAAGCGCAGAGATCTTTCCTGCTGTTAGCATCTCAATGTCAAGAGCCTCAAGAGGTAAGAAAAGTGACCTAGCGTTTCAAGAGGCAGTGTATTAAAAAGGCTGTGTTCCCATATGTTTAATATCTGTCCCTGCATTTGCTTTTATTTGTTTATTTATACAGTGCACTTTATTTATACAGTGCACTTAGAGGCTTGCTTTCAGTGTTATTAGCATGGCACTGTAATCTCAGAAAGCCATGGTTCAGAGTTAAGAACCTTTTCTGTACCAATACATATGAGATCAATGAAGAAACGAAAGGAGATTTCCACTTTACAGCTGTAAGCGGGATCAGTGTGTCTCTGGAAAGCTGGAAATGCCGTGAAATAGAATGGCTTTTTGCTAGCCCCGCAAGGATGCTCTGTGACAAACTTTGAAGTCAGAGGATAAGCTATTGAGAGAAAAATCAATACTAGTCCCTAGGCTCAGTATTCTCCAAGTTAAGGTCCAAGTTAGGCCAATTCTGGAAGGCAGGCAAAGTATTTTGTCAAGAAAATGAAAAAACAATCTATATCAAGTTGATTTATATACTTATTTTTAGTGGCAACTATTTAAATCCTCCCCTCACAACAATAAAGCTCAGGGAACCTGTGGAGTTTGTGAAAGCTCATTAAAGTTTAATGAAAGGTCATTAAACTCCATATTTTCAAGTCAGAACTCTCTGCCACTGGTATAAATTATTGAAATTTTGATGTCACTATTGTTCTTAGGGTCACAAATTAAAAGTTTTTCTAATCAGTATGTTTTAATGGCAAGGGTACACAAGGGGAAAAAAGAGCAGATATTCCAGGCGCGACTATAGATTTATGGAGTTCCAAGCAACAAGGGATCAGTTGTTTTTCCAGCTGTCCCTGATCTCAGAGAGTAAAAGTGGGTCATGACTCACAGAGAACAGGCAAAATTCCCCTTGGTGCAGGCCTCCAGCAGTCATTTATATTGGCTGTGAATACAATTGCAGCTAGTGGCCCACAAAACTCATCATGCTCATAGGTAAAATATTCCCCAATGCACAGTTTCTGATGAAGTGCTGGTATTGTCCCAGCTCTGGTAAGGGTAAGAGTAAAAGCCATGGCTCAGTGTTTGGCCTCTTGTGCTGATCTGCTCTTGGTGTGATTTTCTCTGCTTTTCAAGTCAGAATGGCAGTGGCTTCTACACACCTTGACCCTTACAACTTTCTGACCTCAAGTCAGGGCTTTGAGGTTTTTTTCAACTATGAAGTCTAGAAACTCTCATTTAAAAATGGCAACAAAACAGGCAAAAAAAAAAAAAAAGTAAAAATAGATTCTCCACCAATCTAGAATGACTGTTACAGAAGCATTAAGTAAAGCAACAAATAATAAAAACCTTGTCATAAAAATCACAAGAGCTGGCTACGTGTATCCATATGTCTTAGCTGCATATTATCAGGCTTGCACAGATTTCTGCAACTTGTTCCAGTCAAGAAAGTATACTTCTATCATTTAACTGTCTTTTAGCACTGAGGAAATGCCGTGTGACATGTGTGTAGACATCATTCCAAAGTTAAAATACCAGGAATATTACAGACCAGAGTTTCTTTCTCAGTGAGAACAAACTTAGTCCAGTTACTTAAGTTTTTTTAACTTAAATACTGTTAGGTACACATTTTTTAGAGGCATCCAAACACATGTTGTTGTTCATTCTTTTTCTCTTTTTTTGCGTGTATTTTTTGCAACGATACATTCAGCTATGCTATAGATGGACCTGAAAATAATCGAAGGCTGCCTATTCTGTGCAACCTGTGCAGTATTTTCCACTGCAGAGAGTGACGGTTCCAGGCACCAGGCTTTTTATATCTCTGTCTCAATGTGGAAAAAAAATCTTATTGCGAAGCCGCATTGGTTAAGCATTTTAAAAAAGCTGGTTATCACCAGCTAACCCAGGAAAGGAGAGAAGCAGGAGGCCTTCCCTCTGCCCCCCAGGACCTTATTGATGTGATGTCATCTGGGCTCTGGTTGTATTTATAGCCTAGAGCCATGGAGTCAGTGTGGAATCCAAACAGGAAAGCTAATCATTAGTGTATCAGCATGCACAGAGTAGAGAAAAGCAAATGAAGATTACAGCATATCTATAAATGCAAGAGAAAAGAGCGTAATTCTGTCATTCAGCTGTCTAGACTGTTTGCTTTATAATGTAAAGCTGTGAATGAGCCAGCAAGTTGCGATTATGGCATAGGAGCTTTGTAGACATTCAGCGACAGCGGTGTGGAGACTGAGGGGATTTACTGAGTTCCTGTCATGTTGGGATGTCATACATGGTGCCTTTTAAAAAAAAAAAAGAGGGAGGGGAAAATGCTCTGGAAAAATAAATTAGCTCAGCTCTTACAGCTTACAAACTAATGAATAAGGAATTCAAACAAAAAGAAAGCTCCTATATGTATAATAATCCTTAGATTGCTTTGTGCTCAGCAAAGAGAGAAATGTATATCATATTTTCCCCTCTGTGAAAATGTTGAAGCCCTAGTATTCATTTAGCTCTTTAACTCCTTGTATGAGTCACTAGCAAACATTTTCAAACAGTTAAGCTTGCTGAACTTGCTTTTGCAGAATTTTCCTTCTTGTTGATAATGTTGATACTTTTTCGTTTGGAATCTGTTGCAGTGCACAACCTCTATTATCTGTACATGTGAAAATAGTAGGAGCTGAGAAGGTAATTCCAGCTGGCATACCAGTCTAGCATCAACTGCAATAAATTACTTCACAGAGAGCATGTTCTGTTACTTTTTATGGTCATGTTCTATATTTGTATGTGCAGTGGGAGAGCTCACATGACAAAAGCACTGGTTGATATTCCTGTTTGTGTATGTCCCAGCTAATGGCTGCTGGATACGGGCTCATTCAGCAAGATGGGATTCTTCAGTTCATCCACTTACTAGAAATTATTTTATGACACCAAACTTCAAACATTAAAGCAAAAAAAAAAAAAAAAAGTCTGTTATAAATTGTTTACTATATATGAGATAGTAAAGAGAAGATGGAGAAGAAAAAATAAATTAGAATATTGTTATAGTCTGTGAGAAGTTGTTTAAAAGGTATTTTGCCACCATACTTTTACATGTTTCTTGGGCAATTCAGAGGTATATTTTAACATAAACCTTCACAAAACATTATTAAATAGTTTGAATCTGAATTTTCTATTCCCTATAGTCTAAGCCAAATATAATTCTGATTGAAAAATTTATTGTATAATAATTTTAAAAGTTATTAGTGCTCCCGAGCAAGTTTATCTGTTTAAATTTTTTTTAATTTATGATCATGAATACTAATGTGAGAGATCACTGCTCAAAGTCACTGCACTGAATTCTTTGTGAAGGGTCACTTATATACTATCTTCTCTTTATGAGTTGCTTCATTTCATTTTAAGTGTCCAAACAATTTTAAGAGTTGCTTTGAGGGCATGAATCCATTGTTCCCATACTGGGAACTTGCTAATCAGAGAAGGTTTTCTGTGAATCAATATAAACATATACAGGATGAGCATAGTCATGGTAAGAAGTACTACAAACAGATTTAAATGACAGATGCAGATCAGACTATAAATGATTATGTAACTTCTCATTTAAAAAAATGCTGAGTTCATATGACTGCCAGAGCTCATGGATTTAATTACTGACATTGTGCAGACAAACATTCCGATTAAATATCTTGCTTAAATATCCATATTCTACACACAGGTGGGAGGAGAGGGGTGGAAGAAAGTGAGGGTAAAGGAGGGTTTTCCCTTTTTTTCCTAGGAAAGGGAAAAAAAAACCCCTTAAACCCAAAAAACTGTATTTGAAGTTAGACTTAAAGCCATGAGAACAAATCTTGAGGTTTTTATTTTTTTATAGTCAAGCAAAAAATCTATTGTAGGAAGAGAATAGTGGCAATTTCTTTGAATAAAGGACTCATTCTCTGAATTTTTATGTACAAATCAAAGGTGGAGATTCACAGTTCCCTACTCCCTGTCAGTGCAGGATTGCTCTTTTTTTTCTCTCCTCTATTTTTAAAGAACTTGAATAACAGGACTCCTGGGAGTTCTTATGCTGCATCCTATCAGGATTTGTTTTCTAATTAACTTGACTTGCTTATGTCATGCCATTTCCCACTACTTTTCCTTATATTTACTGGGATGCCCCTTACTGTTTTCCAAAACTATGAAGCACAGGATACTCCTCACCTCGTTAATTTGTTACTTACTTATGCAAAAGAGTTCAAGCCACATTTTGCTGCCATTCTACTCGGTTGACTGCTGCAAACCTGCACCTCTCTATCTAGAAATAGCTTAAGGAAGAATTTGGTTCAGTCCTTTTAAGGTCCTCAGGTCTCAAACCTGAGGTGCCAAGAGTGACATGGACAGAGCCTGAGAGTCCTGAGCTCTAAAGGGAACCCCATCCCCCCTCCTGTTCTCTGAAATCTTGGCAAGCTGTTGACGTATTTCTGTTATCAGCAAGTCTGCAACTGCATGCGACATGTGGTCACAGGGGCAGTGATGGACTAACTGACAGTTCTCAGTGTTTAGCCTGCTGCCTTACAGTGTTCACAGGCTCAGTTTTGGATTTTCAGGTCCACTTTAATCCTTGATCGTTGCTTCATTCTAAACATATTGCCAGTTTCCAGATAGCCTCCTGACACCTGTTACCTCGTAATTTTGTCTCAAAGGTGCTCGACTGCATTAAACCAGCCTCAAGCTCGTATTTTCTGCACATGTAGTTAACTTGTGTAGGTATCGTTGTACCATTTCTCTTTCCTCACTTGTGTTTGCCAAAACTCCCAGGCCAGTAGCCCTTGCAATGAAAAGATGGATGCATTTGAGATTCAGTTCTGCCCCGGGGGCAGTGCACTCAGCCCAGAGACACCTAGGGATCCAGGAATGCAGAAGGGCCACGATCACTGCTACATCTCCCAGCCTGTACGGAAGAGAAGTAGAGCCAGCGATGCACATTACCACACACCTTTAGACTGGCTCACATCAACACCTCCAGGCACAGACTCTCCAGCAGTTCCATTCTCTGCAAGAA